TATGAGGGTGATAGTTAACTTAGCAATTTTTCCGACTTTTGTAACATAATCATAACGGAAAAATTATTGGGAATATTGAAATCGCAACTTATCAAAGTCTCACCAGCGTTAGTTTTTGATGTCTTTTATCAACTACCACGAATTTGAGAATTTTGAACCATAACTGAAAATAAACTTTTATGATATACACTTGACTGATTAAAACAATAGATTCAGGGTTGAAAAAAAAACGCTATTTATTGACATGTTTTATTGTTTTTTACAGTTTTTTTAGTTCTAACTTTCTGCACGCATACCGATGATCTAAAAAATATGCTGCAAGAAAAACGGGAGTCAGATAATCATCTCTTCTTTTTGCTACAAAATATTTAAGACGAACCGGTGCAGCATTCTAGAGATCGAGCCGGCTCAATACCCTATAAGGAAGGCGGCTCAAAACCCTATCGAAGCGGTTCGTCTCCCAGACCACGCGCGGATTTTGGATTTTTTCAATGGGGGGCGGCGGATTTTCAAAAAAAAAATCAAATTTGTCAACCTTTTTTTAGGTCGAGCAATTTGATTTTTTGAGCTCTACCAAATCACTATAAAGACCCTATTTTGACCAAATTTTCTGCGCCTTATGAAAAAATAAGTCAAAAATAGCGCGCGCTCCACCCAAAAATAGCGCGCGCTCCCCCCGGCGCATTTAGAAAATATTTTGATCCGTCAGCCAAAAATGGACATCCCAAAATAGTACAAAAAGGGGACCCTTTAGGTCGGCAGGGGGTCGAAAACCTGAGGAAGGGGAGTCCGCCCCCACACCCCCTAAATCCGCTACTGTCCCAGACATGGCTAGTTTTTGCGATAAAATTAAAAAAAAAACTTTTTTTTTATTTTCTGTTTTAAATCGTGTTTTTTTAAATCGTGAACTCACGAGGTTGATGGAATCTAAAGTTTTTTTGTTGAAAACTGTTAGTTCGATCGGCGAAATATGACTGAATAAAAAGGACCACACCGAGCATAAATAATCCGTTTCTTAGAAAATGTCAGTCCAAAGTTGAATACAGAACGGCTCAGATAAGATAATTTTAGACTGGAGAAAGCTTTTTCAGAAGAAGTCCAATTAGGTTCCAAAGAGAAAATTTTTTAAAATCAAGGCTTTTAGGTTGCACAGTTTTTTCTTGCATGACTTGTGATTAGCTATAGCTGTTCCAAAATCGAATTCAGGAGCAATTTATTCGGTTCGACAGACGCGTAAGCATTAAACCACCAAGGAGTGATCAACGTTAATTTCATTATTTTATCAGGTTTTAACACAAATGTTGTTTTAAACAAAACTTCAACATTTTTCCAGGCGTTGATCTGGGATATATTCTAGGAATGAAGATTTTCAAAATGCTCTCGAAAAATTTTTCTAGCAAAAAATTTTTATCATTAAAAGTTTATAGACAACATTTCAATAATAGCTCTCTCTCAAAAAAACATTCACAAACAGAATCTAGAGCAAACTTTATTTTATCACATAAAACAAATCTAGAGCAAAGATTTGTTTTATTATTCTTTTCTTTTGACCTTCGTTATCGATTAGATACCAGTCAACACCATCAGGACTCGACAAGTGGTGGAACCTTAATTTTTTGTGTTAGTTTTAGAACAGACATTTTAATTCAGCTCATTTCTTAATTAATTTATCTTAGTTTAGTTGTACATAGTTGGTACATATCTAGTTAGAACATCTTAATATTTTTAAATGGCGCAGTCAAAAGATTCGAAGTTGCGGGGATTTCCTTCATTATGGTCAAAACACATTTGAGATCAACTGTGTTTTGCGAACCTTGCAAGCCAGTACCTTCATTGCGATCAACTTTAATTGGCGATAATCGCAAAAAAGAATGTGGACATCGACAACCTTAGCAGACTTATGGCGCACAAACCAAGGTTCCACTTTTGGAGCAGGTAACAGGAAGTTAACAAGACCCGGAAAGAACCAGTCGGGAAACGAGGAGCGAGAGCGCGATGAAAACACCTGAAGCCGCCGAAGAGAAGCATATCAATGAAAGAAAGAAAAAACGCGACAAATTGAGAAAAACCATAGTGGACGAGAAGTTACAATCGATTTTATTCTTAGCACTCGGCACCAGAGGAAAAAAGTTATTCGCTTTGAAAACCCCTCGGTTGAAAACTTTATCTATTTTTCTAACAGAATTTTGGGACCTATTGGACAAAGCTTTTAACAAACCCCCATATATCACATTTGAGAAACACGCTTTTATATTGAAAATAAAACAACAGAGCATCTTTTGAACACTTCTGGGGAGCGTTGACAGAACTAGCCAGTACCTAAAACATCAAAGAGACCGAAGAAGCCGAATGGATCAGAGATGTCTCTATTTGCAGCATGAAAAATGGCGAGACCCAACGTAAGCTGTTGTCAGCAACCATCAGTCGCTCGAAAGCGTAAAGTCAGGAGCTCATTAATGAAATGGGCACTTTTAACCATCAAACAACGGTACGACTATTAAGTCCTATTATGTAAAAAACGATATAAAAAAGGAAACAAGTCTCAATATTGAAAGAGGTAATTCGTTTATGAAGTGTAGCAATCCCTTCACGAAAGGAAGTTTAGACGCTTGTGCAGACGAGGAGGAAAACGTAGTTACGGAAGACACTTTGCCAATCTCTGCAAATTGAAGAACAAACCACTCACTCTAAATTTTGTAGGTGAAAATGTCTATTTTGATTATTGTACATACGTCCCGCGAGAAAAATCCTGGAGCGCAAACCAAGAAGCCTGTGGGGCAACAAACGCGTGAAGTAAGAACGGTCAGAGCGACGATGACGATTCTTCTGTGCTCAGTGTAGGGACAATCTACAATTAGGATGGACCGGAGACTTTTTTGACATTTTCTTTGACACTATATTTAAACTAAATAATGAAATTGAGAAAAGACCTTGGCCGATAACATTCATCGCCCCAAACTGACCAAGTAAGTTACCAACAGCCCAAAAAACTAATTCGAACCTTGCAATTCAAAACGACATAACGGTTGCTGTTTAAAAAGCATAGATTGGCCGACTGTAAAAAAAAGATTTTTAGTCAAAACTTTTCAAAAGCTTTCCACTGAAAAGTTACTGATAAGCAATTAGGATATTTTGAAGCCAAGAATTTTAAGCGGCTCAACTCATTAAAGCTAAGCAAAAATCCGAACAATTTTTGTCAGTTTCGCGTTCTGTTCTTAGCAAATAATTTGTTTTGATTCACTGAAAAAAAAAATTGTTCAAGTAACCATGTGAACCTAATCCCACCTAATTGATTGAGCGTCGTCAACTTTGGGAAAAAATTTGTCTTTCATGCGTGTTTCTTACACAGATCTAGGTGAGACAAGACAGCGGGTTTGAGATCAGGTAACTTATCATATTGGAAAGTTTTCATTCGTCATGTAAAATTCATTTTGATTCGCGACGCAGTCCAGGATAAAAGCTTTCGAAAAACTCTTCTCGATTTTGCAACTATTCTCTTTCTGCAAACTTTTTGTTGAATACATTTTTTTTCTAAAATATTTTGCTACCATAGCGGAGATATGAACTTGTTATTGTTTGTATTTTGTGTTGAGCAAAAAATGCTTAAATAGTAGGAGCCATTGTGCGAGACTATAAGCATGAAATGATGCGTACGAAAGTCAGCGCGCTGAGCGTCATCCGGTTTTTATCAAAACAAGACTGCTCGTACATCAAGTCAAAGTCCTGAATGTTTCGAATGTCTCTTAAATAGTCTCCATGAACTTTTATTTTAAAAGTTTTCGAGAATCTATGAGTTTTGGTACTGCCAATATCAAGTGCATGTGCTAGTATTTGAGTAGAGTTATAATGACCAGCTACAGTTGGCCTCATATCAGTTAGGAGCGGTTATGAGTGCGGATAATTTGCTACACATAAAAGTTTCGCGCATTGAAGTTATCAAAGTAAGTCAATATGTTTCAGTGCTTTAAAATCAGAAGCATATCTTTGGGTAGAAGTGCTTAAAGAATATTGGAGCAACAATAAACTGAGTTTAACGGAGAAGCGCTAGAACTGACCAAAAACTTCAACAGACCGTATATCAGGGCAAAACTCTGAATGTTGCGACTGATCTTTAAGGCCAATAAAAAATTTTTAGTTGGACAAGACTGCTCGAATATTATGGCGAAGCCCTGAATGTTTCGACTGTCCCTTAATTCATATCGAATATTTTTTGGGAAAATAAAATATTGAAATCCTACATTTTGGACAAAATCAAAGTATTAAGTTTTGAGTCGTACGAAATGAATACTACCAATTAGCTAGCCTTAATTCAGTTTGGAACGACTTTGTTGTGCGGGATAATTCGCCACGCATGAATAATTCGCGTTATGCTTTCAGGTTTTCGAACAATCTCTTCAAAGCGCCATAATTCAGTCCAGAACATGGCCAATTTGGCAATTTTCAAGAGCACCACAAAAATTAATCGGTGGTAAAATATCTTTTTACTTTTGAACTCAAGAGATCGCTATCTTCAATGGGGTATAAAAAAATTTTGTCGAAAACTAGTATTTCGATCGGCGAAAATTGAATAAATAAAAGACCACACCGACCATAAATATTCCGTTTTCATCAAAAGTCGGAACAATAATTGACAAAAAAAAACGAAAATAAAATTTCTCGTTTTTTTTCTGCAAGCTATCCCCACACGCTAATGTGAACTTCAAAGGGATGTAGTTATCCTCTGTTCTAATAAAAAGGCCAAATGCGTTTGCATTAAGTCAAATTGGAATGCAATAATCCGCCACTTACGCGGGTTATAAGAAGGCGATATATCGAGCGTTCTTGCATACATTGTAAAAAAAATTATAAATAAATTGTTGTAATAAATTATAAAAAATCAAAAATGGTTCCGTCTGCAGTTTAGTGTTTTCTGTCTGATGCCTATGATGGGTATGACAGCGGGGTGAATGAACAAAAATACAGCTAACAAAGTAAAGATGATGAAAATAATCTTCATAAAATTAGATTTTTTTGATAACATCTTCAATATTTCGCTGCAATTCCTTGATAGAGTCTTTTCGTAACTGGCTGCGTACAAAGTTGTTCTCTTCCGGATGTGATCCTTCTTGCAAGAGTTTGCCAGCATACACATTCAGTTTTGTTAACAGACTAAATTTCTTACGAATTTTTTGGTCAAATCCATCGGGCCAATAGAGTAGTCTAATCACATACGAACAAGAAAGAGCTATGCTCAAATCATCTCCTGCGTTTGTTATTTTTGTCACACTGCTTTGATGGTACGCTTCTGGGCAGCCCATATGATCAGAATAATATTTTGCAAGAACCTCCAAGGATGCAATTTTGCTCCTTTTACCGTATGCGACATCAGTATCGAATAACTCGATACCTCTGCTTTGGAACTCTTTAAGAGCTAGTCGATGTATCGCTAAATAGGGTTCCTGCAATCCAGAAAGATAAACATTCAAACCTTCGATGACACTATATTGGTTCAAAGAAGCTTGATTGGAGTACAACCTGTACATTGGCATGAAATACATATACTGTTTATTTTGTTCTGCTTTTTTCAAGCCAGCGTGTAATGTATCATATGCCTCGTTAGTCAGAAATGAGTTTCCATCTAGTAAAACTATCCAATCAACGTCCAGGTTTTCGGCAGCATGTTTTAAAGCCTTGTTTCTGGCGTTGTTTATGTCGGTGGCATACTTTATAGCTTGTTCAGGATCCCGACCATAACGAGATTTCAGCTCTTGCAAATCGAAATCAACGTGCAATGTCCGTTCACTTCTCAGAAGATCTTCAATGGTATAAAACTCAGATATATTCACAATTCGATTGACGACCCAGAAGTACTGGCTATTGTTTTTCCGTCTATTTTCGTTTTCCAGAATAAACTGCAGGTTTCTGGAACCTTGGTTACTTTGCTGCAAAGGGTAAACGTTGTTCCCAAAGATCCGCACAATTGCAGTCCTATAAGAAGCTGGTTTTTCTCTTTTTAGGTCAATTCTACTCAAATCTACAATAGTTCCCGGTTTCTCTATTGAAATGTCGTCTTTCATATTCATGAGGAGTTTTCGAGGCGTCGCGAATAGAAGTAGAATGACTCCGACAGCAGGCAAGATCAAGATCTTCCTAAAGATCCAAAACCATCTAGTCCTATTGCCACTCTAAAATATCACAAAACGATGAATGTAACATGAAAATAGTTGCTTCTAAAAAACGAAAATTATAAAACGAGTCGACAGGTTTTTAGTTTTTGTTTTTACTATTTCTAAGCTTTACGGTAAACCATGACACGTAGACCAAATACTGGAAAAGAGGTTTAAACTATATGCGAATCGCAACTTCTCATTTAAAATTTTAAATGTTTTATCTAATCTAACCTGTCCCTTGTACAAGTATTATTTCATTCAGTGTGCTGTATCTGGAAGTACGTGTGGTGATTCTTTTTTATTTCTGATCAATTAATTAAGATCCAACTTTTTACAATCAGTAGGGTCTAGGTGTAACCTTCCTTCAATGTTGCTTTGATATAATGATTCGTAATTGAGTAAATTTTTTATCGCTTGTTGAAAGCTGAGAACATATCATTTGTTACAAAGTCTTTTCCAAAGACACAAGGATAGTTGGTTGCTGTGCAAGTAGCACAGAATGTTCCGACCATGTTCATAAAAGCTTCAAATAAAATTTCTTCAAATTATTAAGTTCTTCAAACAATTGTCGTTTTTTGTTCACGGTTTGATGATAAAACTTTATACAAACGTATAAAACTTAGTCAATTGGGCAAAATTGACAACAGTTGTCCTCAAAAAAAGAGAAACAAACAAAAAATGAAAAAAAAAAGTTCTATTGTTTTTTTTATATTGTCTGATTCTAAAAAGTATTGTCTATTTGTTTGAACAATGTTTTTTAAAAATTAAGAAAAAAATTCTTGCCCGGGATGTGCCAAATATAGCTTCTAAAACTAGTTTCCACTTGAAAAATTAGTTTTTTTTCTCAGCCTAAATGACCAATTGCACAAGTTATGTGGAACCTGATCTAAACTACATTTTATGATTGGATAAATTAAATGTTTTACCAATGTAAAGTATTTAATATTAACCAATCATGATCCATCTAACTAACAACCCACTTATTTGTAAGTGCTGAAGTTACTTGCAATTTCAGCACCAGAGAGATTTGAATTTAACTTAGAAATTAGTTGGACTCTCCCGAGCACTTCAGCAGCCGCAATAAACCAGTATACCCTAGATCTATTGAGCCTAGCAGAGACTAGTTAAACAACCTGAGACTAGATAGTATAAGAGTAAGATTAGGATCGGTATTAGACTAAGAAGTTGCACGAATCTATCCGGCCGAAAATAAGATAGCGTGACGAGCAGACGGTGTACCCTATCCGAAATTACTCTATGAGTTACACTTCGGTCCTAACTCATTTGGTGCGACCATAAGTCTCGAACAAGACCTTAATAGATTAGAATTAACCAAAATAGATTAGAAATTAGACAAAAACATTTACAAAATGTTATACGACAATAATTTAATCGAAATGTCTCTACGACTCAATAGATCAGAGCCAATATTCCGAACCATAACAGAACTACCCGGAATTGGAAGAAGACCTCGAACCAAAGACGACATACGACAAAGTAGAAACTTGCCGTATAGTTATATGATAGTTCGGCAAAAGCCAGAACAAACTTTTATATTTCGAATACTACTTGCAATGAATTTAGATTTCCATTTGCAAACATAAAACCTTGAAGTTACTCTTCAAAATCATTTCAGGCGCTAAACAAAATTATTAATATACAATAACGATTGATAAAAAGATCTAAGATCGTTCTCCTAAAACTCTGCAGTAATATACAAACATGTTTGAAAAATATTTATTGAAAAATAAAAAATAAAAATTAGTAGCATGACAATAAATGGTTAGTAATCATAAATCATCCTGTTGTTCCAGCTCCATCACCTAAAACATAACAGCAATCATAAACCCACTAATATCATCAAAACACTAAATCTTTCCTTTACACATATTTAAAATTTTATTAAAACTTAAATTCACTTAATTTTAAAAACCAGATCATCAAGGCTTATCCTTGGATCTTAAATCATTTTCTACTTAATTAAATTTCAAATTTGATCATCAAGGCTTATCCTTGGATCAAACAGAACAACTTTGTTCTCCCCCACCCACTTAATTAGTGTCTAACGACCTCAAACGTCGATTCACTACCCAACCCTTTCTAAAGACCTAAGACTAATAGAAATTTTTAAACAAAACTAATCATTCAAATTAGGATAAACAGTGAAGAACTTCGGTTATTCATCCTTCACTTGGCCCCCCCTCTTAACAGACCCAGGATACATCTTAGACTTAGTAAGTTTAAAATAGTATCTAACGAACTACTCGCGTTCTAATTATACCTGAACCTTGTGGATCGATTTACTATTCTCCAACCCTGAACACAATCACTACCCCTAAGTAAGATTAAGTAAGTTAACACCTTAACTTATACTAGCCACGAGAAAGTAAAAAATCATTCTTCGGAATCGATATACTTTTCTCTCCAACCCTGAACAAATAGACCCAGGTTAAGCTAACCAAAAAATCGTAAGAACTAACAGTTTAGGAAAATAGAAATCATTTAACAACCCTTTGCATCCGTCATTCTAAACCTTATGTCATTTAAAAACCTAGGAAATAAACAAACAATCGTTTTACACAATTGTGAAATAGATAACAAAAAATACGACCTTGTAATCACACCTCATACACAAACAGTTGGATACATTAGAACAAAACGACAAACACTAAAGAGAAAAATAATAACTAAACAAAGACAAATAACACGAAAAAGATTTTCAAAAAATCGAAACGCATTTTCAGAATCAGAAACCAACAGTTTAGACGAACTTTACAAACTAAAAGAATCAATAGATAAAAATTGCCCAATTCACGATCAATTATATTTTTCTGACTCAGAAACAACTTCAAATTCATCACAAAGAGGAAAAAGAAGAATAAAAAAACAGTACAAACACAAACCAGTACATCTATACAATTGGAATCAACCAATTCGACACATTAATAATTACATATTAACAGTAATCGAACGAAAAAATGAGTTCAACGCACACCCCAGGTGACGAAACTCCAGATGATGATGAAATCTTTCCTTTTATAGTAGACGCAGATACTGATAGAGGACAACACATATTTTGTCAAAATTTACTCGTAAATTTATTTGAACCCGGAATCAGTCCATGTAAAACAGAGTTCCCCGATGTAAAAATCAAAAGACAAATCATAGATCACTATCTAAAAGATATATGCAACATAACACAACAGTATGGAATCTACTCCATAGAATTCACCTCACCAAACCATAATAATAGAAAATATACAATTCAAACAGACGATCTTGATTTAGAATTTTCAAAAGTTTTTTCAGAATATATAAAAAGCATCCAATATCAAAACTCACAAAGAGCAAACTCCATATTCACCAATGAAGTTTTCGCAATAATATATAGTTATATTTCGATATTAGAAAACGAAATCCCAATAACAAATGTCTCACCGACAGAAACATCTAAACATTTGAAAGTACGACATGAAATCACACTACTCTCTAGTTATTTAAACATCATTAAAGAAAATTTCACGAAAGACGACGTTTCACAACATACAAAACACGATCTACAAAAAATTTTGGCATGGTTCATAATAGATTATTTCACACACAATATTGATTTAATTGCACAAGCAAGAAAAAATTTTAGACCCCAAAATTCGAACGATGATACCGCTATCACAGAACAATCAGATTATGTTTGGGACCCCGAATGGTCTCATCCCGCATTTATAAGCTTTCCACAATCAATCTCAAGTCAAGCAATAGGTACAATATCTTACATAAGAGATTATGTAAGAGTAATACCATTAACAATTGATGCAACACCATTAAACTATAATACATTTTTGCCTGATACACAAAATAATAGTTTAAACTCTACAGTTATACACAATGAAAACCTCAATGGAACTAGGAATCTTACTCAACAAGATATCCAGACACCATCACACTTCATAAATGAAGAAATTGTACACACAACAACTACACAACAAAGTATTTCACCAATACGCCCAAATTTAACAACACCAAGAAATACAAATCCTTCACAAACACAGGTAACCTTACAATCAACCGTTAAACCTTCGGTTGCCCCTAAATATTCACATATGGATTACCAAACATACAGACCCATGACAATACAATCAAAAACACGCAAAACATTCACTAGAAACAACTTTGCAGACCATAATTATAATTATACACATCCATCAAAAACATATAATCAACCACAAAGAAATTTTAACCAATATACAAGATCTCGAAATTGGGATAACCCAATGGCCCAACCTAATTCAACAAATTTCCAAACAAATCCTCCACGGGATCACAGTGAAAATTACCCATTTTTTCAACAAAATAAAAATAAAAAACAGACATCTTATCAAATGGATTATTTATCCTCAGATGATGATTTCTTACAACCAGATATATTTGCACAAAATACTCAAGAATATCGTAGACAAGGAATACAGAGAACACGTACAAATCATAGAAATTTTTCTCCACAACCAATAGATGCACAACATCAACAACCAATTCAACAACAAAATCCAATTAATACACAATCTTTTCAACCAATTCAACAACAAAATCCAATGACTGCACACTCGTATCAACCATCACAAATGCAAAATGAAATACCACTCCCATATTATCTCCAACAACATGAAATAACAAGAAACCAACTTTCAAATTTTTCTCAAATGCCAAATGCAGCAGAATCATTACAAATGACAATGAATCCATACCTTATGGGTGGATCATCAATAACATCAAACAAACCTTTAATGCTTTTCACAGGAACAGACCCTGAATACTCTGTAGAAGATTATTTAAATGCAGTAACAGCAAACCTGATTTTAAATATTGGACCTGAACCAATTAATACGCCACTACATCAAAATTGGATACATCGACGCACAGCGTTAATACAAACAACCTTAGATGGCGCAGCCCAAAAATGGTTTTCAGTACTACCTCTAGAAATAAAATCAAACTGGAAAAGGTTTACTCAGGAATTT